CAGCAGCAGCAACCCAGACTGACAGCTCATTGGCTCATTTGGATCACGTGCAGCCTGGAGCCGGACGCTTTCCCCAGGGCTTTACCGTATTAACAGGAGAAGAGGCGCAAGTGAAATTAGACACCGTCTTCGGACATCATGCAGTCATTTATAAATGTTTTAAATCAGGCTGGGTCTGGATTAGCCAGCAGGGTGGATCCGGACCGCAGTCCACTAATCCGTGACCTCTGCCTTACTGTATAAATACTAGAAGTTCAATTCAAAACATCAACAATCTAGAAAAATGCAGCACAATTAAGTGCAAAGACAATTCAAAGACTTTTTACATGAACTAAACTATGAAATAGGAGAATAAAAGCAAGTGAATCTAAAAACACAATTTTTTTTTTTTTAACTGCTGTTTAGTTAAAACCAATACGATCCCGTTTCATGTTTAAATATAACATAGAGCCTCATCTTTTATTTTATTTATCAGTATTAATTTTTCAGTCTTTCAGAACTATACATATAAAATAGGATTTAGCTTTTATTCTGAGTAAAACTGGAGCTTGTTTTACGAGTTCTGATTTTACATCATACACATATTATCCCGAAAAATAAAACCGCAAACAAATGAGAGAACATCCGAGATTAATTGATATGACTTATTTCTTTTTAATTCTGCATCGTTAACATCTCAGAGCTGAATGTAGAGAATCGGCACCATTAGATCTGTTATATTTCCACAGTTTATTGAGCAACACTGGTTTTATCTTCATGTATAGCTGGGCTGACTGGAACATGTGATGCATTTAGCTACTTTATAAAGAAATGGTTTGATTTAAACTGAACTAAGGACCAGATTTAATTTTTCCATCTCATCCGGAGCTTCTAGCTCAGGTGAAGTCCAAACCTCCAGCTTACATCAGGCTGGGTTAACTTACACTTTTGTCAGTATCCTGGTTTAATCTTCATTCTGGGTTCATCCAGTTCTCCCTCTTCCTGTGCATAAAAACGCACAGCAGCCATTAAAATGATTGAGGGGGGCTTTTGCCCCCTGAAATCTGCTTAGGAACGCCGCTGCTTTAAATCCCTCTGGGGGAAACATTCCAGCGGAAACTGTCACAGAATGTCTTGTCTTTAGGTTTCGCATCTCCACGGCCTTCAACACGCCGGCACTCAGGAACAGGGTCTTCATGTGAGCGCCGTGTCCTGGAGCTGCACCGGTTCCGTCATCGCCTGTGCTTACGGCCGGTACGTTCCTCTCTCTGACAACACACTTCCTCCATGTTTCCTCTGGTCAGTCTGTAAAAAGTTCGTCCAGCTCAACAATCATTTCCATGGAGTCCTGGAATATTTCTAGTAATTTTAGATTAATGCGCCCGTGTAAAACAGGCCGATTAAAAAAGATTTTTATGTTTTATACTGACCTCCATAAATCAGTAAAACTGTTAATAAGAAGGTTTCTGTTGTCCAAACAAAACATGGTCCAAGTTAGGAGCCCTGTGGGATTCCAGATCTGATTCAGAGAGAAATAAAAGCAAATAAAACTGCTGCTAACAGCTGGAGTTATTCTTGATTAATTAGTTCTTTATTTTCAGGTGGAAATTAGTCTGAAAATGGCTAAAACTGCAAACTTTGATTTAATATACATATGAAGGGATGTAATTAAGTTTAAATCAAATTAATTTATCCTTTCTTAAATGAAAATTTAAAGTCATTTTAGATTTTTTTTTTCAATTGTTTAATCTTGCCTTTCTCTCTTTAGTGGTATATTTAATTGTTGAATGATGTATTAAACATTAGTGTTTCACAAAGTGGGGGTCAGAACGCTCACATTGTTTTCACAATCATTGTGACGTGATCACTGGGGTACATAGAGGGGCAAAAATATAAATATAAGTGTAAATAAATACATTTCCCATGAAATAAGGTGTAACATTTATTTGTCTAATTCTTAATTCAAATATTAAATATACATTTAAATCGTAAAATATGCACTCAGATTTAAATTTATCAGTTAAAATAACTATATATCATTAAAAATATTTATTTAAAAATGTATATAATATCTACCTTTAATATGTATAAATTAAATTAAGTGTATTTCTAAGGGGTCTCAGTCTGTTGTAATAAGGCTGAATCTCTGTATTACGCAAATTAATAAATGTTGCATCTATTTATATCATTGGATGATAATTTTTATGTATTTTATTATATAATCTGACCCTCCATACCTCTTACATCACCATTATTTTGGAAACCATCTTGGGACCCTTAATTTAGTGTCTCAGGCCCTCTACGGGGTCGTGACCCCTACTCTGGGATCCGGTATGGATGTCAGGGATGATTCTGCAGCTGGAAGGAGGACCTCCATCGTCGGTGGGATGGGAAAAAAGTACACTGGAAAAACGATCAAGAAACAAGTAAAAATTTCTTCAATTAAATGTATTTACCCTTAATTTTAGTGTGTAAATGAGATAGTTTGCCAATTGAATGAGTATTTTTACTCTTAAAATAAGATTAAGTTAGATAACATGCACTCAAAATAAGACAATACAATTGTGTTTTCTTATTTTAAGTGTAAATTGTCTTGTTCCATTGGCAAAATGTCTCTTTTATCTCCTCAATCCAAGAACAAATGCACTTATTTTAAGAAATAATGACTTAACTAGATTTAGATTTTTTTTCCAGTGTATTCAACTATTTGCTCCAGTTAAATAAACAGAGCTAAATGGATTTTACTCAGTCGGCACTTTATTTTATCTTTGATTAACTTATTGCTCGGTAATCAGCCCTGTTCTGATCTGGGCAGCGTTCGTCCCCCTTATTTACAATAAAGGAAGGAGGCGGAGTCAAAACAAATTAGAACCTTTGGTTAAACGGTAACATGTTATGAATAAACCTTGAGAAAGAATCTGGTTTGTTATGGGAAGAAGGTAGAAGGAGGAGTGAAAAGTTTTCTAGTGAGTAAATAACATAAATTAATATATAAAATAAGAGAAATCTAAATATTCCGTCCACATCGGTCTCTGGTTTCCTTCCAGTATTTTACTGGTTTTAGTTCCATCCTTCTTTCTCCCACAGCATGATGCTGCCACCACCTTGTTTACTTTAGAAATGGTGTTTAGTCTGATTTGCAGAATTAGTTTTCCTCCGCACAATCAAAATGTTTCCAGTTTTACTTTAACAACTTAAAACCATGAATGTTTCTGTTTTAACTCATTTTAATCTGGATTTTTTTAATCCAATTGGACTCTGCTAGGAGGGACTTTTAAGTTTTTCCACTTTAAAGCTTCGAATGACTAAACCTGAGACTCAGAACCGGTTTGGACCGGGTTTCTCTGAACAGAACCGACGACGGCGACTGGAGCAACCAGAAGTCCTGTGTCTGTCTGTGGAACCTAGACCGTCGGAGTCTGAGGCCCAAACAGGCGGATCTGGTTCTGGACGTTCCGGCAGCGGTGACGTCTGTGTGCTGCCACCCGGAGCGGCCCGCTCTGATCGCAGGTCCGCAGAACCGTAGAACCACTGTCAATCAGCTGCTGGGCCCGCCTCAGAACTGACCGGACCGTTTCTCTAATCCTGTAGGAGGTCTGTACAACGGAGAGGTGCTGGTCTGGGATACCAGTCGGACTCAGGATCCGGTTCTGGCCCAAACTGGAATGTCAGCGGACAGTCACAGAGAGCCGGTGTATCAGGTGACCCAGTTATGGTTCTGTTTAAATTTGATTTATTATCATTAAGGTCGGGCTCAACTTTTATTCCATCAGAACCCGTGCAGAAATAAAGATGTTGGAGCAGAACCTTTATGGTTCTGCAGGTTATTAACATAAAGAGTTTCATTAATTACATTTCTGAATGAAATGATCTAAAAAAAAAAAAAAAGAGCCTGGTCCGAATCCAGAACCCTGTGGAACTCCAGAACGTTCAGATTTGGTTTTATGCAGCTTTAACGGTGCCGGTCCGATTATGTTTCCAGGTGGCCTGGGTTCCTCTGCAGAAGAAAGGAGAGTTTGGAGTTCTGAGTTCTAGTTCTGGAGGAGGAGTTCTGCTGTGGACGGTGGATCCGGACCAAGGCCGAATGGTTCTGAGCTCTGCATACGCTTTCGTACGACAGCAGGTTCCCCACAGCAGCAGCCTGAAGGTGAGCAGAACCAGACCGGATCTTTATGGTTACACTACAGACATGGATCAGCAGAACCCTCAGAGGACAGTTTGGTACCGTGGAAACTTCTGATCCAGTTCTCCTTTCTTCATACGAATTCATTTCTTTGGACTTTGGTTACTTTTTATTTGGGAGTTATGGTTCTGAAAACGTTAATCACGGCTGGTTCTGACCAGTTTTAGCTCCATTAGTCCTGACCTCTGAACTATGGAGGGAAAAAAAGGACATTTTGTAAAAGGGCATTTAAAAAATGAGCAGGACAGTAATAAAATGAAAAAAACTTCTAAATATAAAAAAAAAAAAAGTTTTTAAGTGAAACTTGCTTTTTCTCAGATTTTGCTTTTTTATTTTCAAATTTTATTTTCCTGTCAAATTATTTCTCAGATTACATTCGCCTCACTTCAAAACAAAGACAGACGCTCAGTCTGACCAATAGAAACGCGTCTTCACTCCAGAAGAAAGCCCCGCCCCCAAAAGTAGAGGATGTGATGAAACAAAATTTGAAAAGACTCAAAATTCATTTCATAAAAGACAAATAAAATATAAAAATCATTGAAAAATTTTACTAATAAAATAAAATGAAAAATAATTTCAGTGAAATCTAAGAAAAAAGCAAAGTTACTCAAAACCTTTTTTTCAAACATAGTTTTATTTCTGGATTGCCTTTTTTTTTTCTTCCTAAATTTCGATTTACAAAATGTGCGCCTTGTTTGCAAATAAAGAGGAATAAACTTCACTCTATACGGATCTGAATCAATCCATTTTATCGGAGCCACACTGAAGGTTAAGTCTAGTTTAAAAAAAAAATCCAATCCATCTCAGTGGTCCATGAACGCACCGTAGCTAACGCTAGCAGGTGGACTGAGACTAGCTTCAGTGATGAAGATGTTACTGAGTGAAGGAGGCTAGAAGAAATTTAGAGGAAACGAGCAAAAGAAGCTCCTTCCAAGGAAATCTGAGGCAGAGAGAGCAAGACTTTAAGCAGATAACAGGAAGGCTAACAGAGCTGATGATTTATTCTGTTGTCTAATAACTAAAATCAGGATCGAAAATCGTTTTGTGTTTTTAAACCTGTTTTTAAGAGGAATCTGAATCTATTAGAATCGGTACCTGAAGGTCAAAGAGAAACAAACACCTCAGATCAGAAACGGGCCAGAGCGTTCTGATCGGGTCGGTGCCGCTCCGTTTTATAAATGACCATCGGATCGCAGTGATTAAACCCGGTGGTTGGATTCCTCTCTGTAGATCCGAGGCAGCAGCACCGTGGGAGTCACCGCCTTGGCTCTCTCTCCGTGGGACTCGGACACGTTCCTGGTCGGGTCCGAGGGCGGCCTGCTTCTCCTATGCTCCTTCTCCTCTCAGATTCCAGCCGCAGTGGCCCCCGAGGGCCGGAGTGTGACCCCGAGAGCCCCGACGGTGTTCTCGTTCCGGCCGTCAAGCGGTCCAGTTCACTCCATGCACTGCTCGCCGTTCCACAGGTACCGACTCGGCCGGATCAATCGGACTCTGTGTTCTGCTGATTTTTATATTTTCTAATGACTCGCCGTCTCTGCAGGAATCTGTTCGTCAGTGCAGGAACTGCCGGCCTGGTCCACGTTCACTCGCTGCTGCAGGCTGACCCGCTTCTCTCGGTCCGGGTGTCGGACTCGTACGTGTTCCAGGTCCAGTGGTCCCCCAGCAGACCGCTGGTGTTCGCAGCCGCCACCGGACAAGGTGAGCGGAACCACGACCGGCTGTCTGAAGACGAACCCAAACCATTCCTGACCCGGTTCTGTTCTCCAGGTGAGGTCCAGATCTTTGACCTGAACCGTAGGTCCCTCAGACCCGCCGCCACCATCCAGGACGGCGCTCCGGGTCAGACCGCCACCTGCCTGGCCTTCAACGGTCCAAACCCTCGGCTCCTGGCGGTGGGAAGATCAGACGGAACGGTCGGCATTTGGCAGCTGAGCTCGGACCTGACGGAGCCGGGTCCGAATGAGCGCCTCCAGCTGGAGCAGATAGCCAATCAGGTGGCAGAGTGAAGCGTTCTGTTCTAACTGGGAGACAAATAAAAGCAGCAGGTTTCCAGTTGTAACCAGTAGCGTTTATTTAAGCACACAGTTTAAAAGCAGAAGTTTCACTATGAGCAGAAAGCAGATAAATACGACAGACGGACACGGAGGTGAGCGCTTCAGTGTCAAACATGCATCAGCCGGGCGTGTTGGGGTGTGAGGGTAAACGCATTCTGATTGGTCCCTGGGGAAGGGGGCGGGATCAGTTGACGAAGAGCGAGCGGGTGAACTCCACGAAGTCGAACGCTGACGGCAGCTCGCGGCCCTTGCTGTCCAGGTACGGCTTCATGTGCGACAGGCAGTAGTCGGCCTGCTCCTTGGTCAGGTTCTGGAAGGAAGAACGGAACCATGAGACCGGCGTGGAGACCAGAACCGGGAACAGAGAGCAGAGAACCGGACCCACCTGGTACAGCTCCTCTTTGGTGACGTAGGGTTTGTTTTCCGCGCTCAGAGCCCGGAAGGCGCTCTCGATCTCCTCGCTGGACTTGACGTTCTCCGTCTCACGGCTGATCATGAAGGCCATGTACTCCTGCAGCGACACGTTCCCGTCCCTGCAAACAGAACCTCCTGGGTCAGGGAGCCGATCCAGAACCACCTGGGCTAAACACCAGAATGACCCCCTACCTGTTGGGATCCACCGTGTCGAGGATAGCCTCGAACTCAGGATCCGGTTCTCCTTCCTCCACCATGGGCAGGTCGTAGCCCAGCGAGCGCAGACACGACTTGAACTCCTGGTGATTCAGACGACCCGACTTCTCCTTGTCGAAGTGCCTGGATGGAGCAGGGAGAGGTTAGGGTCGGTCCAGATAGGAGCACAGGAACCTTCTGGTTCTGGCAGCTTACTTGAACATCATGCTGAACTCCTTCAGCGCCTCCTCTGTGACTCCGGTTGTGTTTCTGGAACAGGAAGTAAAGTCGGGTCAGTTTTCCTTTAAAGCAGCAGCACTGCACAATAATTTGATTCATCCAAATTATTTAATCAGAAACACTTAGATGACTTTTAAACACGTTTTTCTGCAGTCAGGGTACAGCTGATTCTGGTGGAAAACAAAGTGCCTCAACCCGGGCGATGATCAATAGGGGTGTAAATAATAATCGTTTTGTATCGATGCATCGATCCAACAGCCATCCGATGCATCGATACA